TTATTTTTAACAAGCCTTCCAGCTTAAAATTTTAGACTTTCCGATTCCCATCAAGAAAAATCAAGAATAACGGCGGTATAGCCATTTTAAAACATCTTAATAAGAGGTTTAATTTAATATGAGAATAGAAAAAGACGATTTAATGGTGTAATAAAATTAAATATAATTTTATACAATTCCGTTGGCTATAAATAAATTGTCAGAGTTTTTCTAGGCGCACTATTTCTTGAAATATCCACATCGCAGCCATCTAAAAATTAGGAAGATGAAAATATGTTTTGTCCATATGTGATCGATTTTTTTTTCAAAGTCCATATAATTGTTAAAAAAAATACTGAAATTCGAATCTAAATTTAACATGTGCCCAGTCCGTTTCGAAACTTTAAGTCTCAAAGGTGGGGAATTTATGGTCTTATAGAAATAAAAAAAATCCAAATAGCAAAGATAATGAACCCGTGGTTAATCATAATTTCAGAAAGATTTACATCCATAATTAAATTCCAAATACTTTTTTATATTAAAATTATTAAATATTTTAATTTTTATTATGTTAAGGATTATTATTATCGCCAGAAGAGCGTATATTTGGGATAACCTTTTTTGAAAGTGATTGATGGTATTTTGCTGAATAATATGGCTCAAATTTTTCCCCCATGGTGTCCATTAGGTGTCTTTTTCATACAAGGTATATATAATAATCCAATCAAAATAAATATACTAAAACTCATATTTCATATATCATAGCATTTTGTGGTGTGGCATTTTCAAAGTGTTTGAAACAATGGTGTTCGAAAATAGGCCTCCCAAACAAAAGAAACGGGCGCCAGAATTTATAAGAATCAAAATTTTATGTGAATTTTTTTTTATAATAACAACTAGAACATTTATTTTTGAGAATTCTCAAGAACCAATTCATAAAATAATATAAAATGTGGTACTTCAATTTCAAGTTGTCATTTTTTTATTTAACAAGAATGTTGTTCTGTGCGTGTTCGGTGGCGCTGGGCGAACTTCGGTCATCTTTATGAAACAAACGGGTTTATAAATTTTAAACATCAACATAGGGGTTCTCTTTATATTTTTAAAATCATTTTTTTTGTATAAAAACCCCAAAACATGCAAAAAGTATTAAACTATTTTTATTTATATAAAGTTAAGTATTATTTGAAGAAAAATATTTTAACTTTTCCACACCATCGATATCAAAATTTAGTCAAGTTCCATTTTCAGCCATTTTGGTGACATGATTCATTTTATTTTAAAATTAAAGGCATGGATTTCCAATAGTGTGATCGAAAATTTAATATTATTCAATATTCTTAAATATGATAATTTTCATTTATAAAATATTATAGTTTTTATAAGCCTATGATCATATTTTCCTTTATAATAAACGAATTTAAACAAAAAGCTCATTATTAATTTGTGGTTGAAATGACTTTAATTTTAACCAACCCAATCGTTATTTCAAAACCATCGTTAATAGACCACGAAATAAAATCATATAGCCCCTTTATATCTATTAATAAATTTCTTTTTTATAATTTGCGAAGTAAATTTGACCGACTTTCTTAAAAAATTGGAGCCCATTACATTTTTTAATCACAAAATGCCTATTTGTCTTTGCTTTCAGTTCTGAATCTCAAAATTCTAAAACCGGTTTTAACCTTGTATATTTTCATTACCGTTAAGGTTTATTGATATAAATCGTCGAAGGTGCTGTTTTGTTTTAAAATAAATCGAAACGGGATTCTTATTTAAACTATTTAAATTTAACTTAGAAAATAGACATAAACTATATATATAAT